AGAGTTCAGATGCAAAATGAAGTTAGAAACATGCTTAAATCCTGTTTAGAGATGCCTTTGATACTGTTTATCATACAGTTTTCTTCCAAAATTTGTGAGGTACAATGAAATGAAAAAGTAATTTTTTTTGGATTGTATTTAAAAGATAGGTGATGGTGAAACCAAAAAAACTCTGAGTAAAAAAATTTTTAAAAAATGCTCAGAAAAAAGCAAACTAAAATTACAACTGACAACCAAGGAAAATCTCACCCTCTTTTTTTTTTTCCTACTAAAAAATTCAAAAGCCATTTAATTGATCTCAGAATTTGAAGAAGTTATTTATGGGAAATTTTTGATATGAGAATTTTTCTATCTCAAATTTACAACTGCAGATAGGTCTCTCAGAATCAATTAACCTTCAGTTAAAAACACCCTGTTCCCAGCCACTAGGTAAATATAAAATTAAAGAAGCAAACTTGAATAAGTGTTCTGTGAAGGATTTGATATGATATTTTCAGGTAGCTGAAATTGAAGTATGGTTTTTTTCATATTAATAGATGTTGAGTTTTATCACAAAGTTGAAATGAGGACGTTCCCTTTAATGCACTATTGGAATAAAATTTAGTGTTGCAAAACAGGTGGATTTTCATGTTTTGCAGCAGCAGCAGCAGCTCCTAGAGGGCTACCAAGCTAGCTGTGTTTAGAGAGAATTAAGACTAATCTCGCTTGGAGTAGGAAAAGGTTATTACTAATGTCCTGCACCACGCAGTTGGTGGAGCCCTGGTGCCCATTAGTGTATGAGCACTTTGAGAAAGTGACACAAGAGATATGAAATGACATGTGACATTTGCCTATTGTTTTGTTTTACGAAGTGGAAATAATCTGTTTGGTATTTTGGTGGTGGATGACTTTCCAAAAGAACTTTTTAGTGACTAAAGTGTTTAAGATTTTGTCCATACAAATGCAAGCAAACAATTGTGGATCTTTCTGCTCTCCTGCCTGGTCAGATTTGGCAGACAGTCAAGGACCTCTATCAGCTCAGAATGTTCTCTCTTACATCTCACTGTCTGTCTATAATGAAAGACCATTTAAAATCCAGATTAGTATTCAGGGAAGCCTAATCTTGCTATCTTCCAGTATAAAAGATGTTTCACACTATCTCTCTGGAGAAAAATTTTGGAATAAGGCATCACCTTCTTGCTAGAGAAATTGTTTTGCATCCTTCATCATCTGACTTTTGTAGCTGGTGAAGGGAAAAAATATTTTATGATTGCAAAGGTTTTGCTGACTGTTGGCCACTCGAATGTCAAAAATGGCTTTATCTAGGGAGGTTAAAACAACCTACCCCAAAATACAAATCAAAACCCCCAAAAAACAATCACTCATGTATGCTGAAGAATCAGCATGTGAAAGTTTCCACTATGTGTGTCTTCTATGTACTGCTGGCATTCTGGAGTGAAAATTAGGACAACAAAAGCCCAAGGTGGTGTAGGGCAGTTAGCTAATAAAGGATGCTGAAATAATGATGAATTAATATGAAGGAGCTAATTTGTCTTTGTCCATTTTAATGCTAATCTCTTCGTATCACATCACCTCCCAGACACTGTTTCTCACTGCAGGGCAAACCTGCACTGAATCAGAAGTGACCAGAAAACACAACTACTCATCACAATATGTTTGACTCCGAATACATTCCTCTGTCTGTATGAGTCTGGCACAACACAATTGTTTTCAAAGTCTGTACATGTTGTAGTGTAGAATTTTTTCTGATGTAGCAGTTGTCTAATGGATCATTTCCAACTAGTCTCCCTGCCTTTTTATAAGTGAGAACATAAAATTATATGAGCTGGGAGCATATAAATTTTATGCACTGTTTCAGGCAAGACTTCATTTTGTTGTTGTGGGCTTTTTTTCCAAGCTGTTCTTTTTTTAAGGATGATTGCAGTTAATGCTGGACTGGAACTAATATATTTTTAGATAAACTTGGTGCTTGTGTAAAGATGCATAGTTGGTACCTCTTGAGCTGTGAACTCTCTCTGAAACAGAACTCTGCTTTACTTCCAGTGTTAATCCACTAACTAATTGCAGGACTGTAATACTGCATAGTTTCCACAGTTTATGAAATTCCTGGACTTGACAGATCAGGTGCAAATTGTTGACATTATGAGTATACTGGATTTATGCCCAAAGCTTTTATTCATAAAGACTATCATACTTACGGATTTATACATATACTGAAATTAATTTAGATCAGGGATTTGGAGTTTATGAAGCAGCTGAAGACCGTAAATAAACTCAGGACTTAAGAGAGGTGAGTTCAGCACTGTTTGTAATGTTCATTTACGCTTTCTTTGAAAGGAAGGTGTTTACAGTGTAAGGTTTTTTTCTGAGTTGTTCCTGAAAGGAATATCTGAAAAGGGTACTGCTTGCATCTTCCAGGACCTCTTTTGGAGAATTGCCTGCAAAAACCATGGCAAGTAGGATGGCTGAAGCTCCCTCTTCAGTATATAAGGTGGTTAGGCAAACAATTGAGATCCTGCAAGGAATTGTGGTCTACCACTGTAAAGACCACATAGGAAATATAATGGCTGCTTTCACTGATAAGAGGTCGGGGTTCTTTTGAAGAATGAAGAGGTCCAGGTTGTGAAAAACAGCAATATTTAAAATTTCTGGATAGCATGATCTTAAAGTCACCTTTTTTTTTTTTTCTCCCAATGCTGAGTCTTGGCCTGCTCAGTTTTCATTTGAACAGAAGTGCTTAGATATTCCTGTTTATCCTTCAAATTGCCTTTTTTGAATCCTTACCCAGCTCCACCGTATTCTCTTTGTGATGAGGGGGCCACAATTGCACATCACATGCTGAATCTGTGCCATGGATTTACATAATGACGTAAAGAATTTTTTTCTGCATTATTTCCTATTCCTTTGCTAAATGTTTATATAATTTAATTTTCTTTTTCCTGCTATTGAGAATTAAGTTAACAGTTTTTATAGAACTTAGTAGTTTTCCTTCTGAGACATTGCTCTTGAGGAGTAACATTCATGTTGGAGCCTATTCTATAGAAGCAATTAGGGCTGGTTTTATTTTCCCTACGCATAACTTAATATTTGTCTATATTAAGCTTAATATGATATTTTGTTGCTCAATTTTATTTTGCCTTGTAAGGTCTTGCATTTACTCAGGGTTTAAATTTGTCCCAAGTATTTCAATAACTTCGGCAGATGTTTTCCACCTGATTTTTCACCCATTTTTCAGATCATTGATCAATTTACTGAGAAGCAAAGTGCTTAGCAGAGGTTTCTGTGAAACTCTGCTTGTGATCTTCAAGCACAGGTTTCTGTGAAACTCTGCTTGTGATCTGCCTTTGTTCTTCATTCCACTGTTTACTCTTTCCAGTATTTTACTTGATTATTTGTCCATTCAAGGACCTTCCTTCTTGTATCATGGCTATTTAGATTCCTTTAGCTTTTGGCATTGGGTCTTGTCAAAAGCATTTTGTGATCTGTTTGGAAAACAGTAATGCGGTTTTTCAGAAGCAGCAGAGGCTATTCCTCTAAAAAATTGTGTTGCTTCATTATGCTACAGTTTCTACCAGTTTTCCTGACAAATATCAGGTTGAAAGGATTCCCAGAACCTTTCTTAACAAACTAGTATCCTAAGAACCAAAGAAGTTTCAAATGAAAGATCAGGCACACCACAATCAGCAAGTTGCATATTTCACCCTTAGCTTCTCACAGATTGCCTGTGTATATAATGCCTACACCTTGTGGTCTATTGGTTTGTTTCATAGTCTCGCCATTGATTTCTGACAGATCCTTTGCTAAATCCTGCAGTAGAATTTCTACTTGCCCTGATTTGCCACAATAATTTCCAGTTTCTAGCTAAACACTTGCCTTTTAAGTTTCATGTTTTCCTTCACCTTGTATTAGAAAGAGAAACAGCAGATAGCAAAGATCATGTTGGGGGATTGCAGTGTCCTAAATTCTGATTTACAGACATAATAAGGAACTCAAACGTCCATGGTGAGATTTCCACAGTTAATCATTGGTAGTCTGGCTTAGCTGCCATTAAAGCCTTGGGGGAAGACTTTTTAATGGACTTTAAATCAGTTACATTAAGAATTTTAATCATGATTCACATTAGTGTTCAGGCTTAATATTGGAATTACTATGTAAGGCTCTTTGGTCCATATCCTGCAGGAATGGAGCCATCATCATATTCCCTATCAGATATACATTCTGAGAGTCTCGCATGTGAAATAAGAGGGCCAGCAGTCCTAAACGAAAATTTGTCCGATTTGTTCAGAATTCTAGATGTAATAATAGGAGAATTGTAAAGGAGGTATTTTTGAAATGTGTTTACATATGAAGAGAAAAACCTAAATTTGCTCTATTAGAATTCAGTTCTTTGAAAGCTTTTTGAAATTGTTTTGTTTTTTAAATCACGTAGGAAATCAGCAACAGGATCAGTGTATCGTGGATAGTGTTACTGTGATATTAAATTCAAGTTGCTCTATATGTAGTTACTGACATGATATATTTCAGTTTTTTATTATACTGACAGTTTATCTTTGCAGTTGATATAGTGGATTATATTTTCAAGGAAAGCTATAATGAGCTTAATAACTGAGCAGAGAATTCCTGAGACTACTGAAATGGAAAAGACATTATAATATTACTTGGCTGTGTGGGACATTCATTTTCACTGTATCTATTAAAGAAAATTCAATCAATGAGCTCATTAAATCTGATGTTAAAATTTACATCATTAGATTTCAGTCAGCAAGCAGACATAATTATTTAGTGATGCAGTTTCTCTTTTTTTTGTGGGGCATTTTTGAGAATGAAATGAATTGTTTACTTGACAGACAGGTGGCTTTATAGTGCTAATGGCTGATTTTAACAATATGTGACAGTAAGGGAAATTAGAGCTCATTAACATTCGACCCAGTGTCTGCACCACTGATCAGTGATTGGACTACTCTATGGCTTAAAATGCTTAATGATTCTTTGTTTGGCAGGAATTAACTGCTATTGGAGGAAAATGTGGATGATCTGATAGCTGGCAGAGTGAATGTGGCCTGCACTTTATAATCAAGGAAAATGTTAACAACTGGGGAGCAGAATGAGTGAGAAAAGTCTTTCAAGGCTTGTGGTGATTGATAAACTATATTATGGTTGACACACACATGCTATGTTTTGCATAAAAGTGCTAACATCCAACTGAGTGGAAAAGCAGGGGTAAGTGAGATTGCGTTATTAGTGGAAGGTAATCAGCCATCTGTTAGGCATAGTACACTTACTAAAGATGAAGATAGAAAGCATATGTGTGCATGTGCTTACACAGGGTCTGTCACCTTTCATATAAGCATCCACTACAATATAGGACTGTATATAAAGAATTAAAAGGCAAAAAAGGCAAAAAAATATACTCAATTCATCTATTTTTTTCTCACACCAGAAACAGTACAAGCTGGTAGCTATGTTGTATGGTTCACAAATATGTCTTTTCAGCAGACTGAAACAGTGGCTTTTGAAGCGACAGAAACAACTATTTGAGGTGTATTTTTTTTAAATAATGGTATCATAACTTTCACTCTGATTGTGACTATAAAAATAAGGTTATGCCCTGAAAATATTGAGAGATGAACTTTTTATTGATAAAGACATTTGACCTTGTATTTTCATCGGTCCACCTGCAAGCTTAAAATCATCTAGTCTGTACAGCTATTCTGGGTACAGAAAAGATTTGGTTTAGAAGAAAGCTGGAGTCTGATGTAATATGGCTTGCTCACCTAAAACTGTCATTGATTTTACCAGGATTTTGTGATTTAGAGCATAGCTTTTAAGTTTTATTAAGAACTTTAGCAGTGAAGGAGGCCCTGCGTGGAAGGAAATGAATCACTTCTTTATCTCTTTTCAAAAATTATTTTTGCAAAGTATAAAAAGCACTTCTAAATTTATTCAGTTTTAATATGTTCTAATACTTAGTGGTTTACAATTCACTATCTGTACATCTCACAAAATCTGGAAAACCAAAATATTCCAGAAATACAGCCAAATCTAAGGCCAGCATTTAAATCAATCACTTTAAGTATCAATCAATATATGACCCCAAAGTATTGTTTAACTTAATCATCCATTCCTATATTTTTGAGCAAATATTTTAATCCCCCAGATGACACTTTTCAAATTTGAAACTGAAATTGGGTTTGCGAAAATGTATCATATGTCACTTAATGGCACATTATGAAAATACTAGAACTGATGAGGATTTCCATGTTCTACCTTTCATGTTTCAGTATGCAATTACTACCCTAAATATTGGGTGTAGCTGGAGGACAATAGATGCAAGTGCCTATATGAGAATAGGTGGAGAATAGAAAATTAGGTCATCTTCAGTAGCTTGTGGCTTAACAAATTTTGTGAATGCAAACCTCTGCAAGGCTTGCATGTGCTTAGTAATCTGAAAAGCAGAACCTACTTCTGATCAAAAGTATTTTTGTCAAGTTTTATAACTCCTAAATTGCATAAAATAGATATGTCTCTGAGGTTTGCTGTTGGTGCTGGGCCTTGATGTTTGCTGTTTAGTACTTCAACATTAGAATTTTGTAAAAACACCTCTGCATCGCGGATTTGCCTATTTTCCTTCCATATCCAACGCATGAGAGTGCCTGAGAGCCACACTCCCAGCGCCTTCTCGGCGCAGGCGTGCCCGGGGAATGGTGTCGCTTTGCTCCAATTGCGAAGGCGGTGGGGGAGGGATAGTGAGGTGGAGCTTTCGGTTTCTCCAGTGATTTTAGGAGCTCTTCAGTAACCGCACTGTTTCAGGGCCAGTTTTTTTGGAGTGCGCAGGAGAACCTTTCAGTTGTACTTTCTCGCAGCATAGTTGGATGATGATGCCTTTTTATTCTGCCAAGAAGCAATTTAAAGAATCTGTGTCCTAGTGTTTGGATTCAGTAATTTCTTGCTTCAAGTTTCTCCTTCCAAGCATTTGTGAGCTTTTTAAAGCTGTCCCAGACCTTGCTAATTAGTATCCACAGTGTGTTTTATGACCTCTGTAGGATTTTTTATCTTTATTTTTCTGAAGAATGTGAAAAGAATGCTCTATTTTAAAATTTCTCCGCATATTATTAATTGAAGTGTTGCAACTTCTTGTGATCTGGCAGAAAGGAAAGGATTTAAAGGACTTCACTTTAAGAGCAACTAGGATTAAGGAGGCATTAGCTGTAATGCTGGAGAGCCACTATTAGAGAGTCAAGCACATCGTAACAAAAAACAGGTCAGCAGGTTCCTAATGGCTGCTAATTGCAAACTCAGTGTATCAAAACTAGAACTGTGCTCTGCATGCAGCATGGACTAGCTTTTGTTTGCTTCTGCAGGAGCATGTTTTAATTTCTATTTGCTAATTGCTTTAATGCCCTTACTAGAGCTGAGTCATACTGAAAAAGTCTGTAAGAGTGCCAGGTTTTTTTGTGAAAAAACTATGAAGCAATTGCTGCCATTCCCGTGTTTCTGTATCATTTAGTGAATGATTGTTTTGCTGATAGGCATGTTTAACAATAAATATGCAAAAATAAGGACCACACGTGCTTCACCAAAATTTCATTTTCAGGAGGAAATAATGTAAAGAATATACTTAAAATACTTGGAGAGTTTGGGCTTTTGGAACAGTTGATTCCTATGCTTTAAAACTGGAGCTATGATCAGCAGTGTCCAAGACAAAAATATTTTTAAACTGAGTGATTTGTCTAACAATACATTTTGAGTATTTATAGCAACAGAATTTAAGTTGAGAAACAGGCAGTGAAAAGAGACAAACTTGACAAATATTCAGCATCCTGAAATGTTAATTTCATCCAGTCTTTCTGCAGAACTTTTTATTTAACACCATTTAATTCTGAATTTTTCAAAATTTGGGCTTAAGGAGGGAGAAAATGTATAGCAGGCACTGAGAATGTTTGAAATCTCCTTTCATCCCTTTTTCTTGTTTGCGTGATAGAAAATTTTGTTCTGAAGTGCCAAATTAATATTCAATATCAGTTTAATATCAGTTTTAAATATTGTTTTGTGAGGGGGACAAATATGCAAAAGATAGTTTACTAAGTAGTGGCAGGGTAGGAAATAAAATCAAATTAAATGTAAATTTTTTGTCCTTCCTGGCTATGATATGTGGATACTTCTTTGGTGTTGTCACTGCCTGCAGGAGTAGTCACTGGATGCTGCAACTCCACTTGAAATATTTAGGAATGTAACTCAGTAGTCACAGGGTAGTTGATTTAATAGTGAAAGGCACTGGTTTTTCTGCAATCTTATAGCTTTTATGTTAAGCAAGTAAAGTTTTTGGTATTTTTGGTTTGTCTTTTTGGTTTTTTTTTTCTTCTCGTGCATAGGGTTTATGGCAGCCTTCTGTATTACATATAGCTAGAATGTGTAAAGAAAGAGGTACATAGTAAAATGTTTTACTTATTTACTTTTTCCAGTGGACCTTGTAAATGTATACTGATGACACAGCTTTTGGGCTTTTATAAAGCCACTTTGTAAAATGATGTTTTAATTTTTGGTACATATTTTGACATTTGGAATTCTTATCTCTACGTTTTGTGAGAGTTCTTGCTTATTGCAACAGTCCTTAATCTAACAAAAATACAAGAATTTAAGCTTCAAAATGAAAAGCAGTAAATTAAACAAGTGTTCCCAACAGTTGCTTCAACTTTGCCTTCAAAGTTTTAGTTGTATGTGGGGGGACACTTGGGAAATTTGAATAAAACTTGAGATATTCTGTGTTTAGTCATAAATTTCAGGTGATACATATATTCTCATATGTACTTGTTTACAAATACCAGTCCTGTATTAACCTGTGGAGAACATATTTGTCATCAATGACAACTGTACTTTGCAAGGTGATTATCTGCAATGAGAGAAATGTAGTGTTTGTTATTATTCTCATAGAAAGATCTTGTTTGTTCAAATCAACAAAGTTAATTTGAAAAATCTACTTAGTCTTGAACTTCTAGTATAGATTTGTAGGGTGAAGAATTTATGCAGAAGTGTAATACCTCAGACATTATCATTCACTCTTTGTCCTGTAAATATTTTTATTGCTATATTTGATCTTGTAACAGCAGTCTCTCTCTTTTTTTTATCTTTACAGCTGTTTTTGAAATAAATATGGTTTAGACTTTCCTATGTTAGCCATGGATGTAGCACTTTCTCCCATGAGAACACAAGAACTGGATCCAATGCCGTCTGATGCATCTCCCATGCTTATAAACATGACTCCTACAATGGAACAAGATGGGGAAGAGGATGCCATAAAGGATCTTGATTCTGGCCAACAGTATGAAAAGCCTCCTCCTCTACACACTGGGGCTGATTGGAAAATTGTTCTCCACTTGCCAGAAATTGAGACCTGGCTTCGGATGACATCTGAAAGAGTCAGGGATCTGACCTACTCTGTCCAGCAGGACTCAGATAGCAAGCATGTGGACGTGCATCTAGTACAGCTGAAGGTAGGATGAATTTTATATTGTAGACTTCTCAGTGAAGGTGATTTGTTCAACTCTGCTATTAATAAACAAAAGGGTTGTCATGACTGCTGAAGCACGTCTAACAGCCTGTGTTAAAAATGAATAAATCCTTTTCAGGGAAATAATAGAAACCATTTAATTATCGGATATTTTTCAACATTATTTGCTCATCACTTAATTCAGTGGTCATAACCATACTCATGAAGAGGTTTACACTCCAAGAGCGGGTGATACAACATTAGCAGTGACCTGATTGGACATCTTACAAGTGCTCAGAAATATTCTCATTGATCTTAATGTCTACTGTACACAAAACTCCCAAATAAAATTCCAGTAAAATTCTTAAAATTCCAATAAGGAGGGTGCTCATTTGAAAACTATACAAGTTTCAGAAGTAGTGGGGTACACAGGTGGTCTAATGTCTGGCCTTTCAGTCATGTAAAGATTCACTGAAGATTGGACTCAGGTGGAATTACATGCAAAATTGTAAATACTTAGAATTTTTTTTCAGATCTGAGACTTGGTAAGAATTATGCAGTGGTAAGATTTGAACAGTTACAAGTAAATCAACATTTTTGCATTCTTTTTCCAGCAAGATAATGCATTACCAAGACTGGAATTTGCCCCCCCAAAATATGTGTTTTGTGTAAGCTATAAGAGCAACAATCTCCTTCCAACCTGACAACTGAACCCAAGTATCTTTAAGCAAGTATCTCTGTCTTGGTCCCAGATTTAATTTTTGTTGCTAAGTCTTTAAAGTTATTGAGGAAATTCAAGGCAAAATTCAAATAAATAGTGTCTGGGACTGTAAGCATATGTTCATTTGCATGGCTTGGTTTGCTGCAGCAGATGAAGCATGCTTTTGAAGGCAGCAAACCGTCTCCAGAAATAGCACAAATGTTATCTCTTCAGGCTGAGGTCTCTTCAGAGTTGCATTCTGAGGGCTCTTCATGCGAACATAGTCTTCCTTCCTACTCAGTGCAATGGTATTTTGTTTGTGTTTATTTTAGGACTGGAGCTGTAAACTGTCTTAAAATACAACTCTGTATACTAGTGATAACCAGAGCAATTGCACCATAGTCAGTCCTAACCAGAGAGCTGATCTTGATTTTTTTATGGTCCCACCGTTTTTTAAAAAATTTGGAGTAGATATTGCCAGCTTTTGATGAGAAAGAGCACTATATCCACAATATGCAGTACATTTTTATCAGATGCTCTGAAAAGGTGTTTCTGCAGGCAGACTTGATAAATCTTGCTGGACTTGGTGCCAGTTCTGATCTGGAATTGCTTTTGGCTGTATTAGCGCAGTGCTGAGCTGAGACTAAAGGTCTGTGGAGCTTGTGGGTGGTGTTCACACACAGTTTTGAGCTGGCTCAGAGCACAGGCAGAACTGATTTGTGCCTGCTTATGAAATGAGAATATTCTGTACATATAACTTACCCTCATATATCCACTAAAACATTTTATTCAGTGAATGAATAACATCCCTCATGCTTTTTCTTTTTTTTAGAGTTTATTTGTGAAGTTGCAAGAGTCAATTGTAGTTTATAAAATACTTTCCTAATGATTTAATCTATATAAGCAAATGCTGTAGCAATTGGGATTGTTTGGGCCTAGGAAGAAATCTGATCAATGCAACTGTAAAAAAGGATGAAGGAATCTAAATTATCTGCAATTCCCTGGCCTCTTACTTTTGGGGGGTCTGTCATTGAGACTAGACACTCAGGAAAGTGTTTTTTTCCTCTGTGTTTATACATGCATGATAATGACTTGTATTTGAAGATATTTTTAAAATTTTTGATGTATTTTTAATTTTTTTCACAAAATACTACAAAAAGAAAAAGCGTTCAAAAAGATCTGAAGTAGGACTAAAAAACCAGCAAGGTTGTAGCAAACACATTAGTAATACAGAACTTCTGTAGCCTGCTTATCTTTAAATCTGTATAGAGACAAAAAGAAATATGATTGTAAAAACAAGTGTTGTGAAATTATTTTATGCAGACATGAGATATATTTTGAACTGTTTATTCATTATATAACTTTAGGAAAATCAACTAAGCAAAAAAAACCCAAACCCAAACAAACCACCCCCTCTCATATAAGTATTACTTGTTTATTGCTTCTGTGATCTGATAATTTTCCTGGAGGGGCTACTTCCAAGTGATCTGTGTCCTTCTGGAACTGCTGTGCCCAGGCTTGACACTGGGCTCAATGTGAAGTATCACCATTGCTGAGTAGACTGGAAAAAGTGTTTCATGTGTCTTTCAAACAATACATACCAGTTTAGTATTTTCTTTTTACCACAAGAGCAGGAGATGGTTGATTCATGCTCAGCTTGTAATTCACTGTAATTCCCACACTCCTTTCCTGCAATATGTTTTTTTCCACCTCTCTCTTATCCATTTTATCTGTGAAATTTTACACGTAGAATTTTACTTTTGTCCATTATTAAACTTTTTCTTTCTTTTATCCCATTTTTCAAGTATCTCCTCCAAATATACACATTGTTTTCATGTGCAAATTTAAGAAGCCTTCTCTCTACTACTTTCTCAATCAAAATGAGAAAAATGAATGATACAGTCTCAGGATGAAGACCTATAACATAGCAGTTTCTGAATATAATTTTCAAAATGCAAACATAGCAGTAAGGCAACAATTTTTCATTTTCTCATAGTTTGTTTTCCTGAGCCAGGAGAGGTCTGATTCCATTTTCACACAGCTTTCTATTTGTTTTGGATATTTAAAGTTGATTTCCTTCCTCTGGCTGTCACTTGGCTTGTGGTGATAAGACTGGCTTGAGGATCCAGGCCATAGCAGACTTTTTATATTATTCCTTGGAAAAATTGCTTAGCACACTGATCATCTCTTTCTCTTGTGAAAATTTTTTCTGTATCCCTGTTGCAGATCTGTCTGTGCTTCTGCTCTTCCTGTAATCAAGAGCATTGTTTCTTTTTTGTGGCTTGTTCCCTGGGGATTTTGGTGTTTTCTGTCAGTCTCTTTTCATGCTACATGACTTAGGTCTTTACTAATGACCACTGATCCTTTGAAAATACTTGTTTCTCTCACTTTTGCAATGCCCTTTCTCAGAACTAGCCCCACAGCATGAGTGGGAGGCTTCTTTTATGTTGTCTCTTGGGAAATTTCCTGGAAAGCTCAGATTCACGAGTGCTTCAGGGGGATGGTTGCATGAATCATAACTTTCTGGATTCCAGAATGCCCTATATTAGTCATTTATCTGGCATCACTCTTAACTCAAGCTGTGCTAAAATACTTTTAGATCTCTCTAACACATTCAGTGTAGCTTTTGCCAATTGCAAATATTGTAAAGGAGATTAAAAAAAAGACATGTTTTTACTACAAGCCAGTAAAGAAGTGCTCTCTTTCTCCTTGTAGTATTTTAACCTGCTGAGATGCTTTCATGATCCATTTAGCTTTTTTTAATTTCAAATAAAATATTATTTTGCTTTTACAGCAAAATCTTTCTTGGAATCCTTCTGAGGTATAACTTGGATTCAACTCCTGTTCTTCTGCTTTACTTTATATCCCTTAAGTCTCTCACGGAAGGGTCTAGTGTTTCAAATCATTCTTTACTGCTTTCTATCTTTTGAAAAAAATGTCATTTTGGATGATCTAGTATAATATTTTGTATCTGTCTGTTAACTTCTAACTTATTTTGAAGTAGAGCACTCCACCACTGCTTTGTGACTTAAATATCTGAACCATATGTTGTATATTGACGTAGAAACAAACACGTTTTATGCTATGATAGTGTCTTTAGATCTTTGCAGACCACTGATGTTTTCTCGTGTTCCAGGTAGAGAGACTGCAGTCATCTTTTTCCAGGATACCTGGGTCAGGCTTAAACATTGCTTAACTGGATCTTTTATCTTTCCTTCTGACTCATACCACAAGATTTTCATGAACTTTGGATATAGATCAAATATCATGTAACCATTATCCTTTCACTATCTCTGTTTCCACTTTTTTGAGGGACAAAGAATTTTTAGTTGTTCTCATTAAACTTAAATCCTGGATAAGAAGTGTGTGAGAAATTATCAAAACAAGATATTAAAGGGTATTACTTTCTAACATGTCTACATTTAGATACAGCTTGTTCCTTTTTCTTTCCATTATGAGCATTTTGAAAAAAATGTAAAACCAGGGTACGGTAGATATCTTTCTCATGCCCGTCTCTTAGGCCTCAGTAGGCTTTTATTGAATAAACACTTCCTCTGTCAAATGTCTTTTTGTAACATTAGAAGCAGGTTTATTCTTTCTTCTCACAAATTTCTCTGACAAATAGACGAGTGTCTAAGAAGCAGACATTTGACTATAAACTCTGACCTATAGCTAAAAGGAGACAAAGACATACTATTGTATTTAGGTCTGAGAATCATCAAGTTGTTGAACAAAAACTGGTGGAACTGTTGTTATGTGCAGTGAGTTTCAGGTCTAGCAAATAGTTTGAGAGCCAGTAATATGGTAATTATTTATTCTTGGCACTATTAACAATCCTATACTAAGAAATTAAGTTGCACAGAAATAAAATTAGTTTAAAAATAATTGAAATGCAATTCAGATTAAAAAAAATTATTTGAAGGTAAAATATGATATTTCCATTCTAAAATATGGTTTTCAGATTTTGAGAACTAGGTTTTCTATAGCTAGCAGGACAGAATGTGCACACCAAAAACTGGTGTGAAGCTGTGAAAGTGAACCACAACAATAGGGAAAATGTAACTTCTTTCATATTGAACTGGTTAACATCTCCCAAATGTGTAGGACTGTGCATCTCAAAGGACTCTCTTAAACTAATTACATTTGATAGATTTCAGTCTCCTTAGTCTTGTTAAAGCTGTAAAATTCTCTGAGAAAATTATTCTGAAAAGTTTAAAGTTTGAAAGAGCTTGAATATTTCAGTTGAATATTGAGAGGGAGGGGAAATATTATTTCAACAATCATAAGTAAACCCAAATTTACTT